CTACCACCAATAGCTGGGAATCCAGGCTCAGGGATGAATCCAGGAGTACACTCAAGCTGCAAACATGAGTGTAACCCCCATCCGGCACAGGTTGTATCCCTATTCCTTCATATGCCTTCTGTCTTTCCTGGATTAAGTTCCAGTTAATTTGCCCTGACCCAGCCCATTCCTGATACCAGACACTGATTTAGAACCAAGACAGATTCTCGGAATGAGATGAACAGGATAGTGTCAGGGGTCATCCATATACTGGTGATACCAAACTCCAAAACTCTGGACAACCTCTCCCAGGGATTTCATATAGATGTTTAAAAGCATGACCCTGAGAGGCACGACAGACCAATGGCCAGGGCATTGAACTGGAGCCCCCCCCCGCACCATCTTTTTAAAGCCAAGAGCTCTATCACAGAAGAGAAACATAAACACCTTCCTACCTGTATATGGGTTTAGGAACTCCTGATCAGAATGGTTCATTCTGAAACATAAACAAAAGTCCCAAGCATTCCTATGGGTAAACCATAGAAGAGATTACAGTGGACCCTCTACTTAAGGAATTAATCCATATTGGAATAGTGGCTGCAAGTCGAAAAGTCTGTAAGTCGAATCTCCATTGACCTACAATGCACTGAAAACCGATTAATCCCATAACCAGTGGTTTTTATTCTATTTTTATTCCATTTTGGTTTTTTTCTGGTCTGTAAGTCGATTCTCTGGCTGCAAGTTGAATCTAAATTTTGCAGCCAGAGAAGTCTGTAACTCGAAAAGTCTGTAAGTCGAGCCGTCTGTAAGTCGAGGGTCCACTGTAGCTTGCAAAAACAGGTTTGCCAGCTTCTTCTCATGTAAGCCATACTTTTCTGGCTTCAGCAGTGCTCAGACATGCAAAAAGAATGTAGGTGAAGTTTTCTCCCATCCATAGATCTCCTTGCTATTTTAAAAAATGAATCGCCTGCCACATGCATGCTTGACAAGTATTGATTGTTAGAAATACAGAAACTCTCAAAGGATAGCGGACAGCCCTAGTAAACTGAATAAAAAATGTTGCCTTAAAATGTTTTTCTATAAGGAATAGTGTGTGTGTTATGTGCCGTCGAGTTCAGAATCAATTTGCAGCAGCCCTAATAGGGCTTTTCAAGGTAAGAGAGATATTTAAGGTGTTTTTACCAAAGGCAAGCAGGCAAGCAAACACACATGCAAACACACATACACATACACATACACACACACACACACACACGGAATTTCCATGGCTGATAGGGGATTCAGACCCAGGTCTCCTGAGTCTTAGCCCATCACTCTACGCCCTCTATACCTCAGTGGGTACCATATGGGGAACAGAATGCTATGAGAAGTATCGTAATAATAATATTTTTAAATGATCATATATTTATTTCCTTTTCTTTTAAAATAATCATTTGCAATCTGTAAATTATTAACCACAAGAACCGCAGGACACAAGGGTCATGAGCAAAATGTACCAGTGCAATGCCCTTGACCAGTAGCCTGACTGCTAAGCAATAACTACCAGCATTAATTCAAACAAAGCACGTAAATCATGTCCAGCAAACACAATGAAAGCTAGAAAAGCATCATTAAGAACAACGCTGTAATCCAACTGACAGTTATATGTGCTGAAGTGCTGTTGATCCCAAAAGGCAGGAGTGCAGCCAAGATAATATGCTGCTTTAAATCGGAGAGCAGTCAGATTAAAACAACAACAGAGTTGCTTATCTTTGTTATGTCGAAAAGGAAATTTCAGCAAGGAACAAGTTAAATTTACTGAAACTCATTTTTGTACACAACTATTAAAAGATGCAGAAGTCCTGTTGTACTTTGGATGTGCTCATCTTAGAGAGAGGCAATGTTTACATTACTAAGTTAAATCCTTGTTACATAGACTTATGTGGTTAAACTAAGAATCTCAGGAATTGTACTTTGGCAAATTCTCAATTTAAAATTTTCTCCTCTCCACCACACACTTTCAAATATTCCCCAATATAGTTCCTCAAGTAGATCCTACATCCTAGTCTCTGGTAAACAGCAGCAAGGCTGCTTCTACCCCCTATTTCTTATTTTATTTTTTATTTTATATACTGTATATATATATATGTGGCAGACAGCCCACACGTCACTCCTGTCAGTCATTTTAGAGCTCCAATGCGGGAGCCTATGACAGGACAGGAGGGGCGGAGTCAAGGGAACTGGGAGTACCAGAGAGGCAGTGAGAGAGAAAAAGACAGAGAGAGAGTTAGGGAAAAGAGGGTGAAGCGTTTAGACAGTTAGAAAGAAGACTGAGAAGTGGTTAGGCAAGATATTAGACAGTTGGTGTCTTAGAGATTATTAAAGAGTTAAAAGGAATTAGAAGTACCTAAACAGGCAGCATATACTGAGACCGTGATTAAAGTAAATGAATAAAAGTAATCAAATACACGCTTATTGAATAATTGATAATAAAACATCCATTATTTTCCTTCTGTGATTTATTTAATACTCCATGAATAAACTTCGTTATACAGTATTTGGCAGCAAGAGTGTGAGACTCATAATTGATATAGTGAGGATAATCTTGTGGGAGAGGAAAACCACACAGGGGTAATATATGTGTGGTAATTTCCAAAAATATAACCACTCTTGTGTTGGGGTATAACCTTTATGCTTTATAAATACACATTCTAGATAAAGTTTCCAAATCCCAATAAAACTATTTTCCTTCAATAATCCTTTTCTAACTTTCAATTCACAATTTAATTGATTGTTAATAGCTCTACCCTTATTTCTAACCCCCTTCCAATTCATTTTAGGTAGGTAGGATAATACAATGTTATCACAAAAAAGCAACATGAAAGTGCATTATAAAAGCAACTAACATTTGATTATGACTAACAATGCAATGTTATACGTACATTCTTGCTCAGAATAAGACCTGTCCAAACACAATGGGACTGAATCCTTGGTAAATTGGGATTGAAACCATAGTCTGATAATGTAACCATGGGTTTGAAGTTGGAAGTACCGTTTACAGGCATCTACTAACCCAACTCTGCAGCTGCAACCCTGTGTGCACTTATTAAAATTTAGTTTCATTATGCTCCGTGGAACATGTTTCCAAGGAGAACTGGATAAAATCTGGATCTACATGTGCTTAAGTGAATCTCATTGATGCAGTTGGAGAATGCAGTTGAAGGGAAAGCAGCATACGGAGCAAGGAAATATTTTTACAAGGATCAAGACAGCTGATGAAGTTCAGAACTTGGATAGTTACTTGTAAAAAATTAACTTGAGTTGTTACTCATTTATAGTATTTAAAAAGTAATTCATTGCTGTTACTTATTGCTACATTAGGAAACATCACTTGTATTACTCATTGTGTTGCTTGTTCCTTCTTCATGATGGTCCCCATAAGGCAATACCCAGCCTTTGTCACTCCTGATAGCAACCATGCCTTTATGTGGAAGAGAGTAAGGAGGCTGGGATAGAACCCCATCTTTTCCTTCCAAAAAGCAATGTCTTAACCACCAAACCCATGTAATCAATGTTGCAGTTTAAGCTATTGAGAAATCTTTCTGCTTCATTTGAATGCAGATATACATGGATTGTGTGTTGCCTCTTCCCTGATTCATCTTAGCCAGGCTGAGGACTTGGGTAGGTACATGTGGAGACAGGATCTCCTTCCCTCACAGGAGCATTCTACTCTGCAACATTTTATTGCAGATTCAGCTTGTTGACTACTAATTTCCAATAGGAAGAAATTATATACATAGCAATCTACCGCTGCATTAGTTCTACTAGAACAAAATACACACATAAGCAGAGTGTACTGTATATCTAAAGAAGCCATCCTATACTTCCTGTAGTGCCAGAACGTCTCCCCCTCAATCACCTGTCTGCTCCACCTGCTCCTCTCAATCTCTGTTGCTAAAAACTGCTACATTAAGGGAGGCCAAAAGGGTAAATACAAGGAATTGTGCCTTTTCAACTGGGACCCCACATAAGATGCTGACAAAGATATACCAGGCTACTTACCTCCTTCCATTCAGAAAGGGAGTAAAGGCTGAATTATTTAAAGCTGCCTTTTAAAATGTTTTAAATCAATTTTATATTTTTTACAAGGCTATTCCTATCTATAGTTTAATTACTGTCATTGCACTGTTCTATTTTTATTGCCTTTTTTCATTTATTTATTTAACTTATATGCTGCCCACACTACCCAAAGGTCTCTTATTGTGGTGTACTGTGGGTTTGTGAGTTTTAACCTTGTGTAACCCACCCAGGGTAATGCTTGCACTAACAGAATGGTATATAAATTCAAAACATAAATAAATAAAGATCACTGCATATTCATGTCCTCTTATTTCTGCAAAAAGGAGAGTTTTTTTTAAAGCCATGCATTTTTTTACAGCATGCTGACTTACTGAAGCGAGAAATGTAAAAGTAGCTGTGAGATGTGATTGATAATATGATTTCAGGGCATAAACATAACTAAATTGAACAATACCTCTGCTCTGTCCAAAGTCTTGCCTGGCCCTTAACAAGAAGCTTCCCTTTTGAAGTTGGCTCATTCCTTGAAATCTAAGGGTTTTTCCAAGCTAAAGTGCCTGAACGGGAGCCAAGTCTAGGAAAACTAATGGGGCAACAACTCTAACATTCACAGACTAAATCCATAAAATTCCATCCTATTGGATGGTTTAGAAAAAAGACAATTTAACACTGATTGTCATTCTGCTCATACCAAATAGTTACATTTCTCTGGAACTGAGCCTTGTTTCTTTGGCAGAACACATAAAAAGCCAAATCTGGCCCAGTGCCCATTTCTGTGAATCCAGTAGAGGATGGAAACAAAGACCCTGTCAAATGAAGCAGATTTCCTGAATTGAGCAGAAGTAGCAGCAGCAGCAGCATAAATTCTTAGGTAACAACCGAACTAGTGGGAGATGAACAAAGGATTTTGCAAAAATACACCCATGAGCCAACCCCAGAAACATGTTAAAGCAAAAGCATACAACCTTGCTGACAGACGATAAGTTGTTCTCCACAAAAAGTGGTGTTTTAGGCTTGCTTTCTTTTCTTCATCTCTTTGCTTGCAGTTTCAGGACCATAAACATTGGACAGGAGCTTGGAGACAAAGGCTATATCAAGACTGACAGAATCTTCTGAAAAAAGTTAAACTCACTTTTTCACTAAGGACACCTTACTGCAGAATAAGTAGCACAGCTTTTATGAGGAAACACTCCAAGCTTAACCACTTAATTGGTTTTATTTACAAGATAGTAAGGGAAACAAATTAATATCAAACTAGATAGTTAACTAGTGCAGGGTCATGTGAGTCCAAAAAAGGTTTTCCGACACAGAAAACCTGAACCTGGAGTCTTGTATTCCTATATTTTCCGGAATCTCTATATTTTCCTGATATCTCCCAGCTATCTGAGAGCCCACTGAGATGCCATCTTCCACTCCAGCCCCAAGCCCATACATTGCTGTAATGATGGGATCACCCTCAATGGCCCAACACTCCACCTTCCCAAGGAAATCCTGGCCCTGGATAATTATGTGCCCCCCGCAACCATTTTTTTCTCTCCTATCCAGTCACAGCATAAAACATGGGTTTTTGTACACACACACACACTCACACACACTTTTTCAAATAAGTACATGCCAAAGAACCTAGGAGAACTTACCTCAGAGTCAATAAGTTTAAGAGGGCACTGCCATTATTTAAAGCAAAGAAAGAAAAATCTCTCTTGTCCCAAAGTTTGCCAGAGCAACTTCTACGCAATCAATGAAAACAAGACAGCCCCTGCATCGGGCTTACAAACATAAAAGACAGTGCCATTGAAGCAAAAGCAGATGAGAAAGAAAGAAAAAAATTAGAAGGGTAAAAAGCAAGCAGTCTTTCAGCAGGCCTGAGGTAACAGCCCTGCTTCCTCTCTCATTTCCTTCCTTGTTACAGCCTAAAGTTGTAACCGTTTGCTGGTAGTGACATCAGAGTAAGGAGCCTTTGGGCAGGGAGGGGGTCTTTCTGAGCAAGGCTGACGGAATGAGACTTTGCCTCCCATCCCATCTCCTTCTGCTGCAGCCAGCTGTTTTGTTTTGCTGTGAGATGCATGCACATTGCTTTCATGCCACTATGCCCTTTAGTCAAACAGTGAGATTTTGAATACTGTACTGAGAAACCTACTTGCCAGACGTGGCAATAGGACAAGCATACACGTCACAAGCACTAGCATTGAGCTTTCTGGAAGCAAAGGGGCAAGCCAACATTTATTTCTGGTTTAAGAGGTTCCATTCAATTTCCTCAGGCAATCCACAGCAAGTCTGTCTTTCCAGAATCATCTGATATCTGTAATATTCTACAACGACAAAGCTGCGGACTCCAGAAGCCAAGAGATACTCCTTGATACCACAAGCTATTAACTAGCTTTGCCAATCCTTTTCTAGGCCTCCCTTGACCTGAATTCCCATAGCTACCTATTATAGTCTCTGCTACAGCTGGCATCTTTAAACAGCTTTCGGCCTTCCAAAAGCCTAGCCTTTAACATTTTCCAGGTTTCTTTCAGCAGCCAGAACAGGAATGGGCCTGTTTTAGTTCTATTTTGATATATACCTGGGTTAACAAAGATCTGAACTATCACCCTGAAACTAAGAGATGGGAGAGATTAGTGCACTACTCAAATAATACACAGCACAAGGGATATAAACTCATTCTTGCAGTGACCCATCCAGCTAAGATCTATTTTAGTCAGCTGTCCCTCATTTATGTGTTGTCATTACAGCAGACTGTTTACACTGGATAGGAGATACTCATCAGCTGGAATCTTAGCAGAATAAGTCACAACTAGAGTAGGCCTGTTTGAATCAATGGCATTTACAGAGAAGTTGATTCAGCAAGTCCCCACTGATTCCATAGGTCTACCGCAGGGTAACTTGCTACACAAAGCAACAGAATTTCAGTCAGTGTGTTAACCGCAGTACACGTTGCCATGCTATTTGCTGATTGTTTAGCATGTTTGCTTTGTGTTCCTAATGTAATTGCCACTTTCTAGATACAATCTCCTAATCTCATCAGCATCCCTGCCGGAGGCTCTTAACATTATGCACCTTGCAATCTGAGCAAGTGGGCTGAAATTCAGTCATTTTGTGGGTGCTGATGTGCCATCTTAAAGGTGACACAAGGCCTCCTCTCCATGATGTTGATGCAAGTTTTCTCCTACATCAACGTCATTCTCTCACGTACACAATTTATACAGAAACCAAACTTTCTGAAGTGTTCCTATAGGATGGCGAGGCAAGGGGTTGCAACTCGGCAGATGCTCAGGGCAACAAGAACCCATTTACCCAGAACCAAGTCCCTGGAGTATCCAGTGGGGTTTGCAGGCTCGGTGCAACTGAGGGACCGACTTTAAAGTCCAAGGGCTCTCTGCCTCCCATTATTCTTGCAAGACCACCCTCCTGGAAGCTCCGCCACGTCCCAGCCATACCTCCAGGGGCCCGCTTTCACCCAGCCCGCTCAAAAAGCGCTCCGCCAGCAGCTGGAGGAGGAGAGGAGAGCTAGATCCATGTGTCTCCAATGAGACCGGGCAGGAGGAGCAGGCCGGCCGGCCGGCCAGCAACCTCCCCCAGCGCGCGCGCCACCAGCACGCCCCTTCCATGCTGCACGGCTGTCCTTGCTCCAGGCGGGTGTCAATTACCAGCCCCACCCACCACCCTGCCCCCCCGGGGCCCTTCTCCGATTGGGCGCCGGCCTCCGCCTTTCCCGCCCCGAGTCGCCCTCCTCCTTCTCCTGCTGCCTTGGAGGCGACAGGTGCCCCAGCGTCCCCGGGGCGGCATTCCCGGCGAGAGCTCTCTTCCCTCCCCTCCCCTCCCCTCGCGAAGGAAATGCGCCGGCTGGCTCTCCTTTGCTCACCTCAACCCGGCGGCCTCCCGACCCTCGGCATCACCGCCGCCAAGGCAACGCTTGCAGCCATCGCCGCGCGCCACGGGCGTCCTTCAGCGCCCCTTTGGCCCGAAGCGGCTCGCCGGGTGGCTCTGACGTGGCGCAGACACGCCTCCTGCTCATCTCCC